TAATACATAATTAAACACACTGGTATCGGATCGGAATCAATATGCAAGTTCAGGAATTGGTATCGGAAAGGAAGAAATTGTATCGGAAAATTTCTAAGAGGATGTATCCTGTTATGTCAGCTGGTACCCTCTAAAGGAGCAGCTATAGCTTATGGATGTATAATACTGTGTTTGCACTGAAGGTCTTCAAAAGGGTTGAAGGCCTTCAGTGCAAACAGTCATTGCATGCAGTCCATTAGGCCTATCGCACTTCATGTGGCCATGCTGTTGCAGAGCCCTGTTGTAACCTTTTGCATTGCTGAGGGCTGACAAGACCAATCGATAGCAACCACTGCCTTCTACCAGGCTTCCCTCTGGATTAAAAAGTATTTCCCCAAGCCTGACAGAGGAGGAGCGGCTGCCTTAACATCGAGTATGCAGAGTGAAGCCTCCAAACCCGACTCATCTCTTAAGACCATCAAGAAAGATGTCAGCTCTTATACAGTATTACATCTTTAATGGAGTAAATAACGACACAGGCTTTGATGGGCATGCTAGTGAGGCAAAGAACATCATTAGTGTGTGCTTATGTTCCTGTTTCTACATGCGTGCATATTCTGCATATGCAGGCACATTTCTCCTTTTGGAAATTAGGCAGATGGCTTTAAATATTAACACATTCTCTCGCTCGGTGTACGAACCAGGCCTGCGTCATACGTGCTACAGCAGAGGGACACAATATGCTGCAGCTTCCTTGACTTCTAGCGCCAGAGAAAAGCATGTTTCATCATAAATGACACTCTTTCTTCCAAGTGACATCAATCAGTAAAATTGGAGCACAGGCATCGTACACACACTGCTGGAAACAACTCAGTGAACTGAAACACTCTCCTCAGTTGTGGATAAATGTCAAAATCTTTAGTAAAAAAGTGCATTTTCAATAAAAAAAAAGTAATCCATTTGATGTTTGTTCATCAGTGGTGCAAACAGGAACTGCTTGCAGCCATTTCAGCAAGATTCTCTATTGTGCAGATTCACTAAAACGTGAGTCAACTAAGCAGGGTCCAGGTGAAGCTTGCAGCTTGACCTCAAAAAGCAGCATTACATTTACTGTTTGCATCATCCAAAGAGCGATTGGAAATGTGTTGCCGAAACTCAAAACCTCTTCATCACAAATCAAATAAGGGCAATTATTTACACCATGCTTAGCTAATAAATGCTATGAAAAACAAGCAAAGTGTACCTTCGAGGAATTGCAAGAACATTTGTGACTTTTCAAGTTTAAAAAAAACTCCAGAAATACACTGTTAATAGCGTACAAAAGTCAAAACATGCTTTTTAATGGAGAGATTATATGAATTGAACCTTTTACAACAGGTGGGGTAACTCGTTCAAGTTAGGACACACTGGAGGACAATATCCCAGCTGAGAATAATCAGGTATTCAGCTTAAAGAGAGGGAGAGTACAAAAGTGACTGCATGCCAGACAGAAGCCTCAAGCTGGGCTCTGTTTAAATCGCCTGGTCCCTCCTCAAACAGCTCTCTGATTACAAGTAAATAATCTAGCCCTCAATCATTCAGCTGCACATAAAAACATTTATGAGCATATAATGGTCACTTTTAATGGCGGCTTAGAGCCACAGCCAGACATAATCTCCAGTTTATAAAGTACAAGACGAGTAATTCAATTGTTCTGTAAAACATCTATTCTCAGACTGCCGGGCTTTGTTTATAACTCAAATAAAACAAAGGAGAGGACACCCGAGTCTGCTGCGCAAGACATGTTCTCCTAAGCCAATTTAAGTTGGAGGTGAGAGTGGAGTGAAATATCAGCATACTGTACAGTGGGATTCCAGCTAATCCACTCACAATAGAAGTTTGAGCTGCCTTTAGGGAGCAACCCCCAAACATGGATAATGCCACAGCCAATACAGCCGTGGCTCCCCAATTTACATAGCTGATCTAACAATCAGCGTCTCCAAGCCCTCGCTCGTATGGTGTGGGATTGTCGTGGATTGGAGTGGAGCTCTGGGTAAACCTCTTTACCATACAGATCAAACACAGAGGCAGCCAGACTGGGGGGCTTGTGACTACCCAGCTCTCAGTGCGTTTAGTGCGTTGAGGCCGTGGCTGCGGCCCAAAGACAACTGCACCGAGCATCAAGCAAATCCTTCAATCCGCCGACTGCCGCGCCCAAGCTTCTTAATAAAATAAGGCCATTAGATCCATCACAAGTACTGTGGGCCTCCAGCACCCGTCGACTCTAAGCCATGTCCAACAATCAGCACGCTTGATGGAAGCAGCCAGCCAATCGTAGGCTAAGTTACACCAATAAGGATGAAGTTTAAAATTAGTAATTGTGTATTGATGTACACCAAAATTAAATATGTCAATATGTAGATGCTTACTTACCCAAATATAAATGTGAGGCTGTCGAGAATATGTATTTGCTATAAAAAAAGGGGGGAAAACTTTCGGCTGTTTTGTATTCCTGAACAAAACGTTGCATTGTTTGCTGGCTAGCAGGCTAACTATTAGTTAGCCTTACGTTACACATGATGGCTTGGTAGAGAAGAGAAGCTCGAATTTCTCCTTGAGAAAAACTTGTTGGCCGAATTAATGTTTCATTATGGGAGAAAACAAACATCAGCACAGTAAGGGGAAAAAAGAGACAGCCAGTTGATCATCCTGCTCCAAAAGAAATCCAGCATCAACATCATAAAACTTAATTGAGTCGAGTTTGTCCATTAGCTTTCGTCGAGGAACTTGATTATTTTGCTCAATCTATTTAAAAAAGACAGCCTTGATAAAGCACCTCGAGTGTTAGTTTAAAGTTAATTAGGAGTAGTTTTGGTTTGACAGAATTAAATATAATATAGTGTATAATTATGTGTAAAAACTAAACTGATGTTAATTAATTGAGTTTTAAGGTTTGGTGCAACATGATTTCAGGTTAAACTATGATTTAATCGGCTTGAATAAATAATGATACTTGTTACAACCCAGCCTTAGACTCTGATGATACCCTGATAATTTGTGAAATGATGTCTCAAAACTCAGAAATGTGGTTTTCCAAGAAAAATGAGGCAGACACCAACAATAGCTCTAGAATAAATGAATAGTTCTGTAAAAAGTAAGTATTTGGTTGCACATGGCAGAGGGGCTAAACATTTACCCTCAGCTATTTTCTGCTGCAAGTGAAGTTTAAATCTTACCAAAAGTTTGACTAAAGTATGAGCAGAAGTTTCACAACAACCTCAAAGGAGCATGCCAGTATCAGCCCACTGCATGCAAATCCTGCCAAGTTTCCATTTTCTAAAAGAGTGCCATGACTTTACAAACTGACTTTGTAGCTTGCAGGCTTGCTCCAAATAGGTAATTTAACACTGTGGACATTAAGTCCGTCTTGTCATTGTTATATTTTAAGGTGCTTGAAGGCATGGGCAGTGTTAAAAAATACATCGGATTCTTTTCTGCATCTGAAGTATTGATTACATTGATGATATTGAAACTAAATGATTAAATTAAATGAAATGAATGGCTGGAAATCTATTTAAAACTCAATGGTACCCTTTGGAAAATGGCCAGCAGGAATGTTAAATACCATCAGTGGACTAAACATGCAAAGCTCCTTGAATCAGAGGTGCTAGGGTAATTTAATGAAACTATTTAAGTTGCAGAAATTGAATCTACCCTTAACCCTTACCCAGTGTGCAAAGTACCCCCTACCTGGTGCTGCTGAGTCACGCTGAACTCTTGCAGACTCAATGTGCAGTATAGACCTAGAAGATTTCATGGATGACAGCCGATAATAAAGACTCTCACAACTACTAAGCCGGGCAAACAACTGTGCCCTGCAACAGAATCCACCCTGACATTTGTATTCAAATGTATTCAATACATCATGTATTCCATCTAAGCATGAAATAACTCACTGCTTTTCAGGTTGTACAGGGTAAGGTCATGTTATATAAACTACACCACGTCTGCGTTGCAGACCATTTGCAGCAGCGCCTGTCTGTCTTTGTGTTTTTCAAAAAATGTTTTACAGTTTACGTAATGAATAGGCTACTAATGGACAGTAAGTAAGCTTTTAAGAGACATTATTAGTGACAATTGCAATGGACAAATCATTTTTTATAGATCTTTCCAGAGACCCTCCAAAGTGTTGCTTTCGAGGCTTTCAGGGCTCTCAAGTGTCGATCAATGAGTCTCTGCCCTTCACAACCTCAAGCATTGCTCACATATCAAGACCATCAGTGTTCCACAGATCTTGCTCTTTTCTCAAAATTCCCAAATCCCTGTGCTTTGTCACATTACTGATGCCATGTTAAAGGTGCAGGTCGCTTGACCACAGTGCTCTCTCAGACCAATCCTTGCTCTCCTTAGCCAGTCACAATCATGTCACACACTCATTGTGTGTCTAATGTCAGGTCATTAGAAATCTCAGTGTGTGGCCCACAGCCAGCATAAACGTGCTCCTGAAAGAAAACGATGCATTAAAAGCTGACACACTGCCAGCTAGGGATGCTTTACTCTGACACACACGCACACACACACACACACACACACACACACACACACACACACACACACACACACACACACACACACACACACACAGCACAGCGTGAGACACACATCATGGCAGAGACAACAAAATGATCCGAAGTGTGGCTACAGAAATCTGTTTGTCGAGCAGAAAAAGTGAAGTATTTTTACTCACAAAATAATCAAATACAAATGTATCAATAAGGATCTAAACCGATAAGCAGAATCAATAAGAGTACTAGTACGGTACCCATCCATTACATTACATTACAGTCATTTAGCAGACACTTTTATCCAAAGCGACTTACTATTCAGATTCTATCGCATTCATACACCATAGGCACAGCTACGGGAGCAATTTTGCATCCCTACTGCCAGCCATACTGTTTTTAACATCCTGAGTTATTGGATATCATGACTCGGTCACATGAGCCCCGGCTCAGCTTGAGCTGGGAAAAGTACAGTCCTACCTTCACAGTAAGTAGAGTCCCCATGGATGGAGGCATAGCCGCCCTTGCATTCACACTCCGCTTTAGTATTCCGGTTTTTACACTCAGAGTTTTCGCCACAAATGAGTCCCTCTGCGCAGAAGTCATAACCTGAAAGAGAGGGACAAAGGAGGTCTCGTATTTACTTTGGACTGTGCACAGAGGTAAAAGCAGACAAATGCACGAACCAGCAACCTTGTTCCTGTCGGGCACAAATAATGTGAATGACAAGGAGCCTCACGTATGAAGTTTATGACTGCAGTACATTTTTGGTGCAATAATAAAAAGGTTTGGCTCGTATGACAGCATGTACACACTTAGAGTGGAACAGTCACTGGTGTGCTGCTCAAGCAGCAAAAGTGACACTGACTGACTTACTGGAAGAGTCTCCACGCAAGTTCATCTAATGTATTTCAGCACAGAACGGGTGAAAGGACAGCGTTGACAAACACCACACGACGCTGACGCTTTGCCACCTATCCAATGAGGACTAAACTCACAGATGGCGAGCCCCAAAAGAATGCTGCACCTCCAACACAGAGGTTTCAAAATAAGAGTAAACTGCAAAGTGTTATATAACAATTATCTCTTGACTAATAAAATGCTTAACGGGCTACTTCAGGCTGGGATTGCAGAGTGTGACAGGGAACTAATTAGCTCTCTTGTGGAGAGCGTATTATTGAACAGTTGCAGCAGTGGTTTGAGAGGTTTCTGTGGACATTTCCATTTGGTTCTGACACTTTCTTGCGATGACTCTGAGCACCATTTTGAATCCGGGATGAACACAGCTGCCATCCTCCGAAATAAAGCAAGCCACACACTGTGCTTTTCAAAGCCACGTTTCAAGGTTACAGGGGGTAAGTGTGTTTTTTTTTAAGTCAACAGTGCAAGAGACACTAGTGCAGTGACAAGATCAGAATCCCTCACTGGCTTCCCACCTGTTAACATCATTATCTATCGGAACACATGGTACTGCGACTGGGATTAAAACCCTGATCAGCTGCGGTGGGGGATTGGAACTTTAACCCTGTGTTAAACGCTTCTGTCTGCCTGCATCTTTTGTCAAACAGACTGAGATCCTGCACGTATGCAGGAATGTGACATGGCAGATAGACGGGTGTTCTGATAATCAGTCTGTAAGATAAGGAAGCAGGCAGACGGATTGTCTGCTGCTCAGTAAGTATGAGCTGATGTAGCCCATCATGTCCTGTAATGAAAGACACACTAGCAGCACATAAAAGCCCTGAGAGGCAGGGAGCCTGGGGAGCCATTACTGAGGAAGGAGCTGCGTCTGCATTCTGCTTCCTCCATCATCTACAGCAGCACCCCGCCCAATTGTGTAAACATGTAAAAGGCCCAATCCGACTCGGAATAACACACGTGTTAGAGCTGTGCAATTAATCAAATATTTATTGCGACCACGATTCCCACGATTAAATCTGCTGCGATATTGACGTTTAAAATGCTCCGCTCCATATCGAATCAAGCGCTTCCTAAACTTAACAGCCAGCCCTGAGGCTGCCATGCTGCTGCGTGCGCACCATGCAGCAGCAGCAGCCTTTGAAAAAACTTCCCAGAATGTTGCAGCTGCAGAGTAATATTCTGTATATTGGCCGTACTACTACAACAGGGGGCAGACGGGCAGAACCAAAAATTTCGGTCAAATCTTTCTTGTTTTTCTATTTCAAAGTTGAATTTCAAATATAAAACAAAGTTGCATAAACACTATGTGGCAATTGTGCATGACCAATTTAACAGAGGATTTAACAGCGACGCACTAGTAAATATCAGAGTGGTGGCAAAGCACAGAGTCACACAGCGGACGATGACCCACTCTGAGTTTTAGCAATCATGGATGTGTGTGTGTGTGTGTCAGAGAGAGGGCTGAAGGAAAGAGACACTGTGACTATCAATCTTTAACAGTTAGCTCTTACATATATAAACTGCCGTCCTTTCCTCTATACTTCATACCTTTCTTCTCTTCTCTCTCACTCTTATTCTCTCTCTATTCTTATCTCGCTCCACTCTATTCTCTCTATCTGTCCTCTCCTGCCCTTTCTCCTAATCTCTCTAATTTCCTTCACTCTTCTCTCAACATGTACAGTCTTAGTCTCATCCTCTCTTTAACTTCGTTATCATCTTCCTCTCCTCATGTTCTTTACACTCTTTACCTTCCCTCTCCTCTCCTCCTCTCCTCCCTTTACAACATAGCAGGTCTCCTTCCCTCTCCTTGATTTAACCTATCATCTTTCTCCTCTCCTTCCCTTCCCTTTCCTGTCTTCTCTTTGCCTTCTCTTTTACACTCTATTCATCTTCTTCTCCTCGAAATACAGCGAGTCTGAGGCACGCTGCTTATCTTACCGAAATGAGAGCCCAATTTCCTTTGCTCAGAACCTGCCCCGGGTCTCTTTCATTGTGGGCTCTATAGCCGACAGCCTCCTACAGTTTGTTTATTCAATGCATTTACTGAATTACCCGTGGCTATTTACCCTGTAGTAGCTCCCTGCCAAAGCAGCGGGGTTCAGGCAAATTGGCATAGCAGGTGCTCTATAGCAGACAGACCAATCTGCTCTGATAGGTATACCGACCCAGAAGCACTCATACCCGGTGGAAAGGGAGAGAAACAGAAGTATTGCAGCGGCGCAGCCGGAATCAGCAACCAGCAGACTGGTTATGTTTGCTATTCGCAGCGGCGGGGGATTGGTGCGTCCAAAGAAAGAAGGAAGACATACCTCTGCAAACGTTGCAGCACCTGCCATCTGGTAGGATCTGTTCAGCGATGGTGCAGTTGAGCTCTGGACAAGTTTCTGTGACTTTCACCATCAGGCCATTCTGGAAGGACAGGACGGAGGCAAAACATTACAATTTCAACGCTTGGGTCAAATGTGTGACAGTCTGTGCATTAAACAAGATTTTCACCAGAACAAATACACCATTTGAGGTAAAAAATTACACTGATTTGTTCCAGGTCCAGGGCTCAAACTAGGAAGCTTCCCATCGAAAGCCCACTTATTTAACCTTTTTGGTGTGGTATGCTTGTTTAAAAAAATACAGATGTTTCACCCAGGGGTCCGCTGTTCCCATCCCATGGAATCAACATTGACGTTATGCTTGTTAAGTAACATTGACTTTACGCCTCTTACATAATGTTGTTATGCTTCTTAAGTGAAGTTAAGAAACTGAGTTTTTTTATAACCTTAATCAAGTAGTTTTGTTGCCTAAACCTAACCATCGTTTGGCAACTTTAACCACGAGGCATTGTGCGTTTCTGAACGCGTGATATGAGACTAACATAGCGTATTTATAAAACATACTTTTATACCATTGCCATCATTGGTTTGCAGAAACGTACAATGCAAACTTTTTTTATTCTGGCAACTGGGTTGATTTTTCCAATTAGGTTCACCTGCCAGCCAGACATCACTCACATCAGTCTTTCTTTTTGGAACGGTCATATCGGTTGTTGATTGAAGTAGGGAAATACAATAACAGGCGGCAGATGAAAAGACTAACTTGCCGTGAGAAGGTGTGAACTTGCTGACATACTCTGCAGTAGGATGACCTGGTGATACTGAGAGTGGTTTTTTAAAAGGTAATTATGGTGATTGTTATTGGTCATGTCATGTACATTCATGTTCATATAGTTCCATGCACTTTTCACCCATTGCACGGACAATATATATGTGATTTTAATTATCGTTGGCACAGATCAGAGTATAACACATTCAGCTTAATCCTGCTAATTAACCCTCATCCTGAGCATCCACGCTTTATTCTATAATTCCAAATTGTTAATTAAATTTTTCCCCCTTCATATCATTGTTTTCTGCTTGAATCTTTTTTAATCATAATTTGAAATACCAATGTATTGGGGTCAAAAGCTCAGGTTGCCGTTTTAATAGATGAAATGTTTTTCATGGGTGATGATTTAAAGCATCACACAGGGCGTAGAGGCACTCTGTGAGACAGCAGAGCAGCAGACGCAGATTTCCTCATGTGCTCTGTCTATCTTCGTGTTCCTTTCCTAAAATAATAACCGGTTTTGTTTTCTTCAGATGGCATTGATTACATAACTAATAATGTTTTGAGAAAGATCACAGTTCTTGGGGTCTCCAGGGAACTGTTGTAGTCACAACAACTACAACAGACTGACAGGTGATTTGTAGTTTCAAAAACACGTCAGTAGGGTCATCAGCGATGTTGAGCTTCATCTGAATGACTTTAAGAGCACCAGGCACCAGTTGTCTCTGTCCGTCTTATTGCATAACAACCTGGTCACACTAAGGTGAGGCTACCTGCCCTGGGGCCACTGTGGCTCGGTGTTAGAGCGGGTCGTCCGTCAATCTTCTGATTGACGGTTCTCATTGAAGCTAGTCCATGTCGATGTGTTGTCCTTGGGAGTTGTCCCTAAATTGCTCCCGTTGCTGTGTGAATGTGTGTGATTGTCAGATAGTTCTGATGGGCAGGTGGCACCTTGCATTGTAGCCCCTGCCATCAGTGTATGAATGGGTGAATGACATGTCGTGTAAAAGTGCTTTACGGTCGAGAGACTAGAAAAGCTTTATACAAGTACAAGTCCATTTACCATTTACTCAATCCTGTGTCACTATATAAACCAGAGGTTCCCAACCTTTTTCCTTAAGGGACACCTTTTCTATCATTGGGTTAACTGACGACCCCCGAGTGACATATTTCATGGATTGTTCATATTATATTCAATGCATAACAACAATAGCACAGAACAACTGTTAAACTGTACAATTAACTGAAATAGTGAACGCAATAACTGTTCTACAAAATTTCTTTTGTAGAACGTAAAATAAATTCAATATTGCATTAGAGATGACTTTTCCTGTAATTTCTTTGCATTTTTAATACAATTCTCTGTCTGTATTGTGGATTATCTATTTTTCAACAATCCTTCATGCTTAGTACTTCATAGAGTATTCTGAGATATCCCTGACTGAATGATGCTGCCATGACAACAGAGAGGGTGGGATATAAAGGCTACATTGCATGAATTGGCATGAATACAGAGAGCAGCAGAAGCACCACTAAAGATGGGGAAACAAAGGGAGATCGAACACTGTGTCATCTTCCCCTGGTGCCTTTAAAACAAATAGCAGGCACAGAGCAACAGTAGCAGTCTGGCTGCTCTGTCAGACCAGACCTCTCAAGGTCGAAAACATCGACTCAGATCCTCCTTCAATTCAACGCCGTGCTATTCTAGGAACCATGTTAGCTGTTTCCCACTGTCATCTTTTAATTGTACAGCCTTGCACTGTGAGTCTTTTATGAGCGAGAACAACTAACTGATTGTTTTGGTTTGAAAGCCTGCACAGTCCACTCTCATCAAGGCTATTTCTGCTGCTTTTTGACCAACATGTCTTTTATACGCTACCTGTCCATCCCCAAACAGCAGACAGATAAGAAATAGAGCGACTAGCTGCCTAGCGCAAAAGCTACACCAATGCCGAGCTGAGAAGAGAATAAAAATATACTTAAAAATGCGTTTCACAACCCAAGACTATTTATGCAAATAGCTTATTTTATCTGACATAAATAACTTAAGTAATTCTATTTATAATGACGTAAAACATACTACGATTACCTCCTCACAGTTGTACACTGCCGCCAACCAGTCAAAATGCAGTTTACAGAACTTTTTTGGTATTTTTGCTCAACAATTTTGCTTAATAAACACATGATCATTTTCAAAATGGTTGTCCATATATGTTTGATTAACTGTTGATCAACTTATCGACTAATCATTTCAGCACTAGCAATAATATTCCATCATGTCAGGCAGCCATGATGAGATCAGTAATGCCACGAGTGAAGGAAAACACACAGCATTGTTTTTTGGTGACAATTTGAGCTGCCGAGTGTCACTTATCCGAACAGATGGCACGGCATAGAGGGCGTCGTATGTTCTACAGATGATAGAGCCCCTTGAGGATTTGTTGTATAAAGCTACATAATCAAAATGGACTTATTCCTCTCTGTCAATGCATAAATTCATGGATGCTTTTCACACTTCCCACCACCGTGACAGCAAGAGGAGAGTTACATTGTGTGACATGAAGAAACGACATGAAAATATTCACATGCTGAAACATACAGCTGAGATTCATGGATCAAAAGCTCTGACTAAAGAGACCCCTGGAAGCCTCAGAATAGAACTTCCCAGGCCCCTTTCTAAAAGTGTCCAGAAATTGGTCGCTAAGCAGGGTTCAAATCTAGGAGTAAAGGTTGGCTGTAATTGCTCAAAATAATGATGTTTTGAATTGCCCAAGGGCAAATAATAACTTCAGGAATTCACTGTGCGTCTCTTTGTGAGCAATTGCAAAAAAAGCAAATTTTTCCCCTTAAAGAGAATCTTTAAAGATAAATGGTTCCTCAGTGAAGAAAGCTCACCTCTGTTCAATGGTGAACTGGAATAATGACTCTAATTATAATACACACGGTGATGAAGCTTCTATTCAAATCAGGCCTTTGTGTTGCTGTGTTTCATATTATTTCTAATTACCTGGTTATCTCTCCATTAGAGAGAAGGGAATAAAAAAAAGGTAGATTGAACAGATTGGGGGACGGATTGGAAAACTAATATGGCCCGCTGGCTAATTGAATAACACACCGAGCGGTCCGCCACGCATAATCAGTACACATTTACAATGAAAGAGAAGTGCTGCATGGTATATCTGATTGAAGAGCAGAGGCCAAATGCTGGTGAAAGATGTTAAACGTTACCTTGCATTCCCTGCAGCTCCTGGATAAAAAGCGCTGGCCTTCAGAAAAGGTCTGGCCCCTGTAGGTGCATTTCGCTGCGGGCACAAAAAAAGAACATAACTGCTTCAGTAACACAGGTAAGTACAGTAACTACGATATACCAGGAAAATAATAATTACTCAGACATTGTCAGCTCCTGTGGTACTCTCAAAAATAGAAAAAATGAATGCTTGGGGGGGGAAAAACAGACAAAGTTCCCCGCCTGAAGTTCTGCATAAGTTGTTCATGGCTTGTGTGCATAAGTGGAGAGGAAATGTAAAGGCGCATTAAGAATACAACAGAGGAGAGCCTTCTGCATATTCCTCCGGCGATGAAGTAGAAATAGAAAATGAAGCACATGATACGAAGTCCTGCTTTTCTCCTCTCCAGGGTGCAGGACCGCGGAGCGCTGAGTCGCAGCTCTGGACCGCTGCTCCTCGTCCGTCTGTGCCAAAGCTCTGATGTTCACAGGGGAGGAAGAGGAGGAGGAAGGAGCGAGTGGAGGGATGGAGGGAGGCAGAGGAGGGCTGGAATTATTCAAAGACAAACTATCCTTTAGGGATTGAGTGTTTTTGCCGTATAGCGAGAGAGACACAGTTGTCTGTGTGTCTGTGAGCCGCTACCTGTGTGCTTTATATTAGAAATAGAGCTTCCATTTCAGCTTCCATGACTGTGATCTCTGCTCTTGCAGATAGTTTATTCTGGTTTCAATGTGCCAGTAGAGCATCAGCCACAGTCAGCAGCCCTCTTGTTTGTATCTTCAGTGGCTCTGGTTGCAGTGGTACCTTCAAAAGGATGTAAAGCAAACAAGCTGAGCTTGCATGTAGGACTGTGAAAAACAACAGCATTGGTGATTTGTTCAAATGCAAACAACCTATGTTTATGTTCATTAATCCCTGGCCTCGAACTTTTGTGGTTGGGCAAATAACTAGCAAAGAGCAGGAAGTGTGACACTGGTACACTGCTGCAAAACATCTAAGAGATGACTTTGGCTCTTCCAGAAAGGAACATGTGGAGAAAATCAAAGCTTGACAGACTTGCCGTGCCTAGCTACCGTTGCTAGCTATGATCGAATAACGCCGTTTGAGGAAGGGTTTGGTAAATTGTCAATGATTCACGCTTTTGTCAAACATTTATTTGTCATTACCTCGTATCAATGTCCGACCATTGACTGGAAGCCATGCAGCATCCCTCCTTTGTTGCTTCTATTACTTCACCATCCAAATAAAAAGGATAGCAACAGTCCTCAAAGGGTAACTTCAGTACTTTTCAACATGGACCCGATTTGTTTTCTTGTCTAACTGACAATGATTTCTGAAATTAGTCCAGAATGGAGTAAGAGCGCTGTAGACGGTCTTCAATGTAATCCTATCAGGGCAAACTGGCGCCACCATTTACGTCCACTAAAAGTGCTTGGTTTTGCCACTAACAGACTCAGGCTTATTTCAAGCGTCAGACATTATGTAGTCTCCGTTGAGATATATTGATAAAACAAAAATGATTATAGAGAAGAATTGATTTTCAAGAAAGCAGCTGTGGCGAGATGACATCATTCTTAGCGTTATGTTGGTTTTAGAGAGAAAATATGACCCACAGTAGAAGATCTGAATCGTGGTAGAAGTCATGGTATAGACTGAGCAAAATGAAAGTCATTTTACATGTGTGCTGCTGATACTCACGTCGGCATTTCTTGCAGCAAGTCCCATCAACGTGTACAGGCAGCGAGTCCTCTGAGCAGTTTGCTGGAGGACAGAATATCCTGCGACACTCCACCACACCATTCTGGAAGAAACATCAGAAGCAAACATCCAATGCTCACTGTGAACATTCGGCTTTTGCATAATGTTTGCAAAAAAAAAAAAGAAATCAACATGTCGCCTACTTCTTTTTATCTCTCAATTTACACTTGCTCAAGCATTCACGGAATTCTATATCTTTATCTGGAAGAGTTAACATATATAACACACTAGGCACTGGGGGTGACCGTGGCTCACTGGCTTAAGAGGGTCAACGGTTCGATCCTCGACTGGGAAGTGCCAAAGTGTCCCTGAGCAAGACACTGAACCCCCGGCTCTCCGGGCGCCTGTCATTGGCAGCCCACTGCTCCCTATATACAGGGATGGGTCAAATGCAGAGGTCAAATTTCGTGTATGTGTATATGACAATAAAAAGGGTTTCTGTTCTATTTTCTAGGTGTGATGTATGCGCTAATCCAACTCCGCTTACATTACAGCTCAACCCTGAATGGGGAATGCTTTTGGTGTAAGCACCATGCAAACCAACTCAAAACTGTTCAGAATCCTACCTTCGAGAATGCAATCTGAAGCTGAAAGCTATCATATTCAGGAATAAAGAAAAAAAGTGATTATAATGTCAAACAATCAGTTAACAGATTCATCATCGAGCGCTGGATGGCGGGTACTGAAAGCGAGCGGGCTGCTGATAGCAGGTAGTTATTCGGGCCCTGAAGGACTGCCTTCATTTTTTGAGGCTGATATCTCTCTCTGCGAGCGCCTCCTCATTTCATGAGTCATCGAAAATGGTTCCCCCAGGACGCCGCGGTTATCAGTTAATGCCATGTCTGCGGGAGGAAATCGGACTAAACTCCACCCTGTGCTTGATGCGCAATGATGCAGCAAGTCTAATTCCCCGGGCCCCGGCATGGCCTGATTCAACACATTTCAAAGTCTGGCTTCTGCAGTATGTATGAGTGCAGACAGGGAGGCTTATTAGGCATGTGTGGGGGGGCGGCGCTTGTTAGGGGGGGGCGGACAGGAGGCAGGGAGACATGATGCCGGGGCTGGGAGGTCTGATGAGAAGACAAGTTAAGGGGAAGTAAATGGACTTCACTGTGTTTACCCAATTAAATAACTTTTTTTTACAAAATCCTTACTGGTTAAATTACCGCAACAAATATCCAGTTTACTGACATGTTTTAACACTCGATCATTTTGAAGCCTAGAAACTGTTTCCACATGGTCCCAATCACCTGAACGGAGCTGGGTAAAGCTGTCTTTTCCTTTTTAACGCCACACAGGCTTGGAAGGAGCACTTCCTTCTCTACCCTCTCCAGACATATTTATCTGTTATGACTGAACAATTGTGTTGCTCTCAACAAGTGCCATTATTTTGCCTGATTATTGTACCTCCTGATTCCTTAATGTATAGTTGCCTGTTGTTTTTTTACTTGCTGCCCCTCTTGACCAGGACTCCCTGGCAGAGGAGATACTGTATCTCAACGGGACCTAATCTGGTTAAATAAGGAATGAATACAAAATCTAAAGGTGGAACTTGATGTTAAGGGCTTAAATAAACTTAGACTTTGTTTTTGATTTTCTTGAATCAAGGGTCTAAGGACAGAGGGTAACACAGTTTGTACAGATTGTAAAGCCCCCCTGAGGCAAATTTGTGATTTGTAACATTTGGCTATATGAATAAAATGGACTTGACTATGATGGAGAATATTTTCACAGTACAATAGTTGAAAGCAGGTGCCTCAATCCTTGATTGTGGGAGTGAAGGTGACACTCACCTTACATGCACAGTTCCTGCAGTTCTCTGGCTCCACCCACAGCTCCTTATCCCGGTAGACCGCGCTGTTGGTGCTGCAGGTCCTCTCGCAGTGACAGCCCTCCAACTGGGTCAGCCGAGACTCCGCGTAGTTCAACTGAGGACGAGCACAGAATCAGAAGTCACAATATCAAAAGTCGCAAGTGTGCGTGCAGGTTAACCCCAACCACCAACCGCCCCCCCCCAGCGTACCCCGGTCGGTTTTCACTGAGGGCTGCTCCGCTGGGAGGTGCTCATTAGAAGGGCACAGAATAATAAGTGATCATCATTCAGCTCACGCTCCAGACCTCAGGCTATAATCTACTGAGAAATGACAGACAGGACTGACAGCCACGATCCTGCCTCACTCCTCTTTTATTCGCACACACTGATCTGCCCTTCCTCTTCGGCTTATTTCATGCCCAACACCTGTCTCTCCACAGAAGTGATGCATCTCTGACTGACACAAGTGTCACAGGGCAGTGTTACAGGGAGGGGCACGGAGTGTAGTACGCACAAACCAGGATTAACTTTAAATCAGGATTTAACAACCATGTCTCTTAGAAATTCTGTTTATTTACTATTAATTTATCAAGTATGGCAATTATTGCCAAGTATGTTTTGGCACGTAATTGCTGGCTGGATCATGTTCACAGCCAACGTTTATTCCAGTGAGGAAAGGCCCACGTTATTTTTTTGCAAATTTTGAGTAATTTGTCAAGACAATCCTGAGACTTCGAGTTCATGAAAATGGACTGGACGGACGGAAGGACGGACAAACAACCTGAAAACATTATGCCTCTGCTGCATCCGGCGCAGAGGCATAAAAACGCGAGACATGCTTTATTGCAAGAGCTTATACTGTAGGAAAAACAAATGAAACATGGTGTCAGTCAAGTTTTTGAAATGATGTCTAGAACATTTTGCGACATAGCAAATACAAAATGATTCCTTATTCGGTTAATAAAAAAAGGTAAGGGAGGTGGTCCTCGCCAAATACATTTTCCGTTGTATATATGCTGAATGTAATTTCTCGGAGAAGGAGTTGGATTAGGTCACAAGCCCTGTTGCTCCAAGTCTTAACTCAAACTGGTGCATCTTGCTGATCCATGTGAATTGTGGTTTGTTTTCTTAATATCATTCAAAGCAACCACATGTAGATCAATAGTAAATATATAATATAGATTACATATATCATTTTTCATGTTGAAAATCAGCAGCACCTATTATAGGTGCTTTATATAGCACCTATTTCTCTGTGCAGACAGCCCACTGCATCCATCAAAGCTCCCTCTTGGCCTTGAGTAGGAGCTGGCTGGTTACAGACAAACAGCAGTTCACATATATAAGTTAATCAATCTATAAAATCTAAGCACAGTCTGACCCACATGTATACAGTCCTGTTTGAAAGGTGGAAAGGTGGGGGAATTCAAAGGTCCAATTGATCTGAGCAGCAAGGGTCAACTCAGAAATTGCAGGTCCACTTAAGACACTCAAGAACGCTCTGCCTCCGCCCACTCTGCTCCTCCGAGACCTGCCCAGCCACAGAGTCAGAAGGAGAGGGCTCGCCACAAAATGATAGAGGCTTCTCAGTAACGAAAAAAAAAAAGAAATAAAGAAAATTGCCCGGATGTCACTTAGGCTCTTAACTTCATCTGGAAGAGTCTCAGCTGGTTTCTGGAGAGCCGTGTGAGCTGTGAGCGGTAGAGATGTGTCCTGTCAAAGCCCCAAACAAAATGTTTGAAATGCAGTTTCAAAGGCTGAGAGGCTGCCTCGAGGCACCGCAGAGGAATACGGTTCCTGTACAGCGTGAGCATCAAATGGCATGGTGATATCACACAAAGTATTCAAGAGGCTAATAGGCATGTATCTCCTATGGTTGATACATGAGCCAGAGAGACATGAGAGAAATACAGAAATAAAAGCTGAAGACAAAGGGGAAAAAGCTGCATTCACACCTTTAATCTTTTTTGTTGGCCTGCATGTCTGAAGGATATGTCACACATGTTTAAATTCTGAGACCAGATCAATGTTGGGCCAACAATGTTTAAACCTTACACAGCACTCCAGGCATGAAAATCTATGGTGTAGGTTTTAATTTATAGTTAGTTTATAGAGTAGATTTCACCCGCTGATACTGCAACAACACTGATGTACCAAATATTTTTGAGAAAGAGAATGGTAGCTACACTGTACTGCAGCTATGTACATATGCTGCGAAGATACGCCTTAAGCCCTTAAAGGGACAGTGTCTAGGATTTGGAGGCAACTAGCGGTCAGGATGCAGATCTACCAGCAGCTGGATTCTTGCAATGTCAGGAGATGATGGTGTAGATGCTGCAATGGCATCAGTTATATCAGAACAGACGAGTGTTTCTTCATTGAAAGAACAGCAAAGAGCGGCTCGGAAACTCTTTCTTGATGGAAATGGTATTTTCGCTCTTTGCCGGATTCCACATGGAACCCGAAATCCAATCTATTTGTGATAACTGGATTCATTCTGTCAATCCGTCAAAAACAGCAAACAGCGCAAGCCTCCTTAAACTATCCAAACTAACTTTCCCTGAATCATCCTTAACACAGTAAACACAGAAATGTGCCTCCTGGATGCTATTCTAAGCGCATGCTGCGGGAAGCTACTTTGGGCTCAACTTGCCAGGAAATGAAACCAGCTATTATGCAATAATAACAAACATTTATACAGCTGACACAGGGACCCTGAATCCTCTGTTATTACTAAGAAGACTGGATATAGACTCAAAACCACTTTTATGGCTTACACACGAGGGAATCCAGTGCAGCAGCAATGGAGGAGAATCTTGAACAACTCATGCATCAGTATATTTATATAGCTATTGTAAGCAAATGGCTTATGGCTTAAGAATAAACAGGGAGCCTGGAACATGATATGCGAATTTACAATTTTGGGGCCCCAAGAGAGTTGTTTTCACAGGGCGCAGAATTTCTGGAATAAATAAGCTGATTAAAATTCACGAAATGTGATGGTATATAGGTATTCAGTTCACCCATAATATATACATTAACTCTAGCTGCATCTATCCATGCAGCCCGTTTTGAGATATTGCTTTTATTTCTTATTTTATTTGGACTAATTCTTCCAGCTTTGTAGGTAGAAATGTGAGAGACAGAAACTAGATGGCTACTTAGCACTAGAGGTAGGTGAGATTTGTTTTGTAATTCGGGTGGTCTAACCCTTTAAAGAGGGTAAAGAACGATGTATCTGTGTTGATACTCCATGCTGGAAAATCATAAAAAAAAAAAATGTATTGTGTTATTTTTACTTTGTCTTTTGGCATAAACACTTGCTTCTTCACACAAACACAGGTATGATACATGCGAATGATGCCGTGCTAATCCAGTTCTTATTGTCATCTCACCTCGCCTTGACATGATACACTCAGGACCAAGCAATTATTCACCCCACGCTGATTAACTCAAATCTCTACCGCATAAAGGCAGACAGCCATTTAACGCTTGAGATGACTGCTCATACGACTCGCAACAGGGCGGATGCAATGAGGTCAGGTGGCAATAGGTTGAGGTGTGTTCATGTGGAGGAGGATGCGTTGACACAGCGGTCGGGTAATGATCTTCATTTCACCCTTATTTAAACCCAAAATTATTCTATGGCTCGCCTGCCCGCCACAATGTCCTTGCTCCATTCACTCCCACCGGATAGCGCTCACTCATGCACACAGTCAATCACACACACAGTTATGCAGATGTTACGTCCCCCGTGGCTGCACTGCCGAAAGCACACCACCTGTTAGCCTCCTGTTGTGCCAATGGAGTCGCCATTTCCTGACACCTTTCCGTTTTGGAACACCTTACAAAATATGTCAAAAACACAACCCAAGTAGCACATGCTGTTTCAAAGCTACTGACAAACCATATCTTCTGTCTTCTAATCATGATGTGGATCATCTCTGCATCCTTAACCGGCCACACTAAAACACCAAACAGGGAATGACCTTCAAACTCAAGTACGGTTTGTACTTAAAAAAAACATAAGCTCATAAAACATATAATCTCCCGTCCTTCCCTTAATCCTTCTTTCCGTTCCTACTTCAGCTAACATGAAAGCACAAAAATCCCCAAATTTGAGGTTTAGGTATTTCCCCCAAACAGCAGAAACTCAAGGTCTTTTCAGTTTTAGTGCAATTGCAACTGAGCAAACTCAATCTGCTGAGCAATGAGTTCAAAAGCTCCAGGAAAGGCGAGCCAGTGGACGGGACTCCCTAAGAACTTGGTATTTCACTCAGATCAGCGTCATTTTGCAGGACGTAGTCGCGCACGCTTCGACGAGCTCCGTGACTGTCTCCCATGCTCTGAGTGCACGTTCATGATCATGTTAGTTTTGTACAAATAATGTAGGTCACTACTTTTAATTAGCTTTATCGAGTTTTAATTAGCTCGTGACTATAGACAGTGTAGGCACCTCGGTTGCACTGTTGCTTATCCAAAAATGTGTCGCGCTAAGGTTGGATCGTGTCCAAAAAAATAACTCACGTTAGATTAAAAATGGTGCCGCGCGCTCTGTATGCCCTTGGAAGAACTTTTTAGGTTACGGTTTTGCGCGCAGAAAGTGACATGACGACCCAACGCGAGCGGGCAAGAACGCGCATCGGACACGCATCACTGTGAGAGGCAGGTTGCAGCGTCAGCAGTTATTTACAAGCTCTACTGTTCATTACTGTCATTCTCAAGGAGCTATAATTAATTCCTCTCTGCTGTTACGATGCAGATGTATATCCAAAGTGAAAACTGTTCCAGTGTTTCATCACTTTAATCCCGAGCGATTGCAAAACTGCAAAAAACTAAACCGTGACAAAAGATAATACGAGGACTTCTGGGACCATGTAATTGTCTGTTTGCTGTTCCCTCTTACATGCACATTAACATCTTTTCTGTTTTTTTCTGGGTCTTTTAAAACCACTTCAATCCACGCTCACAATAACAACTGACAGGATAATCATATTTTTTAAAGACAGATTAAGATGCTGTTTGTTTTTCTTTCCCAACAATAATTTCTCTCTTTTTTAGGCACCCTCTTGTTGAAAATAAATGAGGTACTGAGGAAAAAGAACAATGCACTACAATGAAGACATCAAATAAATTAAAGGATTCAGTCGTCTCCCGCCGTGGTTGAGAAGGAAGTTATTTATTCATTGTCATTTATATATTTATTTGCTTGTCAGCTGCAACTGGGAAAGATAATAGTGGATCTTTTCACAGGATACACTGACATGGTTGCCAACATTTTACATATTCAGTGGTTCTTTTTTTATCTGTAAACCTGGCAAACATCTCTGACACCAATAAATCAGCATCTCACTAGAAGTCAAGTAATCCCTGTCTGTTTGTCTGTGTCTGTGTACATGGATGTCCTTTGCAAATGTTGAAACCTTTCTCACTTGGCGGGTGTATCGCTAGGGACCTAATGACATGCAGTACGGACGTCGGCGCAATTTGGCCAGATGGTGGTGCTATTACAACATACTTTACGTTTCTGACCTGTAACTTTGAACTGTAAGTCTCCTAAACGTTGTTCCTGGATTCTGCAGGTCCAAAGGAATCTATCTCTGGCACTGTAGCAGCATCACCGAACTATAAATCAAGGAATCCTTCACATCTCCAGAACCGTCCGTCCAATCTACTTCATACTTGGTAGGTGCATTGCCGGTAAGACAAGGACTTGCAGTTTCAAAGCTGGTTTTGACAGGCGACAAGTTCACTATTAATAAACTCTGAACAGACAAGTGACCAGTACTCTGTACAGCAGCGTAGGCGGGGCTTCAGGCCTCTGGTGACTGAGTCGAGCATGTTGCAGCAGGCTTTTAGAGGTCGCGGCTCGTTGACTGCAGTTCACTTTTACTGCTGGATGCTGGATATGCTAATGATATAACCAAACTCCTATTCACTTCCATGGCATCAACAAGTAATCAAGGGCAAAGCAATCGAACCTCTCCGAAAGGGCATGCAATCCGAACGGATACTACACTAGTATTATATAGGCTAGTGAGTCTGGTGGTGCTGGTCGTTTTCTGTGTGGGAGGTTGCTCCTTGTTCTTACCTTCAGGGTCATCTTGGCCAGCAGCTCCTGAAGGTCCATGATGCCTTGCACCAGGCTCAGGAAATCGCTGCAGGTCGGACAGGCTCAACGGAGGAAAGGGAAAGCACCAAAACAGGGAAGAAAAGGAGAGGAAGTGCAAGACGGAAGCATTTAGATAGGTGACAAACAAAGCAAAAAATAATAGCCTCACTATATGTATTTGGAAACAGCGCATGTCGACCAGCAGCAAACAAAAGGGAACCCTCACACATCTGTTTACCCTTTGTCTTAGGCTTGTGGCTGGTGTTAGTATCAATAATAAAGCGACAAGGTGTGATTACACGCCTTATTGATTAGTAACAGAGACAGTGGGACAGCGGTGGCCTTCTATCTTAATCTGTTTGACAGTAAACAGATGGAGAAACGAGGCGGGGAGAGAGGAGGCTGCACTGAATCTGAATTACAGCAAAATAAAGATTGCTGGAATAGAGGGAGATGATAAAATGAAGGGGAGGCTTTGTCTGTGATCAGCGGGGAGAGGTCACCACCAGCTGACACGTAGCTCATTGCGGTCCAATTTTATAACGGCGCACAGAAATAGGGAGTGTTCTTTTTTTTTCTTTCTACTCCCAGTGTGTGTTCAGAACACTATGTACTACTGTGTAATCATGATACTCACTGCGGTTAAGGTTAGGACACTGTGTAATGTAGCCGTTGGGAGCGAAAATCAGCTTCACATCCTGGATGACGCCCTGGCAACACAGAGGGAGGGGTGCAGGGAAAAGACAGGAAGAGTTACACATGGAGTGGCAAGTTCATGGGATATGTCTTTGGATCTAAAGGAAGAAAAACCTGACAGAAAAAGACTGTGGAGTCCACAGCTATGCTAGCAGCCCTGTAATGCTAACATACTGTTGTTTAAAGCTGCAGTTGGTACCTTTTATGCAAATAGCTTTTTATCATATTTACTTAAAAAACTGTCACTATATTCTGACAGGAGTGCATGAGACAGATGATCTGTGGAAACAGCAGGTTCCGCCACCTTTTAGTGTTCCTAATGGCATTTGCAAGATTATGCAGTGCCTAAAGGGGAAACAACCAAGCAGAGTGGAGCCGACAATCACTGCTCAGGAATTCCAATCAAACTGTCAAACTAGGCAGTGCTAATCAAAAATGATTGAAGATTATTTATTTTTTTACTGTATTGTCCTATTTGTCGCCTCAAATGTTTTCAAGAGCATATTTTAATGAACTGTTTACCTTTAAGACAGGACAGTTTGCTCCGGCTGGAGGGCCTGACATGGCGGCTGGGCCACAAATGCTCTCATTTTACAGCGCAACATTTGAGACGAGAAACAATAATGTAACATAATTTCTATATTTGACCAGCGCTGCCTAGTTTGACAGTTTGATTGGAATTCACGAGCATAACGAGCAGTGATTGACAGCTGCGTTAAGAGTCTCTTCAGCTCTGATTGGTGTTTTGTCTTCGGGCGCACTTCATGCACTACAGTCGGGACGACAATCTGAGCAAATATGAAAAAAAGTAATTTTTTCATAAAAGTTACCAACTCAAGCTTTACCAGGTATACTGTTTACCATCTTAGGATATCATGTTAGCATTATGACATTTACCATTTTCAATTCACAGTCAAATGTTATTAACAAACACGTCGTTTAAAAAAAAAACTTGAATCCGCACCAAAGCTGCAAAAGTTGTCTAACAACAAATGATAATGCTTACATTTTAGAAATGGTGAAAAACCACCACAGGAAATGTTTTGAAAAAAGAAACCTAATGCAATGCAATGTATACAGTCTTCATTCCTAACTGAACTGAAGCAAATGTACTTCACAGTGAAGTGAATGGCCTTTCACCGCTAGAGCTCTCTTCTTTGTCAATCACTCCGAGTGACAGGCTCCATAGGTGCAGGGCTGCTAAATGGGGGGCTCCATGATGACCACAGAGAACAATCTTGGAAAAATAGGCACCCTCTCGAATGGAAAAGCTAACTTTTAAAACACCGGTGTGCTCACACACGGGGGAACTATAATTTCAGCATTCCTTTAAAGTGGCTACTGAGAACATGCTGGAAGAACATTTAAATTCACCACCTCAAGCACAGTTGGCGTCAGCTTGTCTCTCTCTCGCCTCTCTATGTGTACGCGAAATCCATTTACAGTGCATTTGGCTAGCCTGGATGCAAGCAACACCTGCCTCCATTTCAAACAGAGGCACAGGGAGAGGGAGCCTTGAGGCGAACAGGCTTGGAGCACAGATTGAGAACTAACACACACACACACACACACACACACACACACATAGAGAGAGGCCGTGCGGGCAGTGGATGGTGAAGAAGAGATTGTCAGTGTCACTCACAATGAAAATGAGGGTGTAGTTCACAGATGCCTGTCCCAGTGGTCCACACACATCACTGTCAGTGATGAGTAGGTCATTTCGATCTGAAGACATAAAACCTCTCCTACACACACGCGCGTGCACACACCTGTTTCATGCCTTTGCCAAAGCAGATATGTTTTAACAGCACTATTCAGGAATAATGTCTACACTCCCATGGTAAGTCCAGCCCAATTGCACAGATGCATTTCAGGTCATGTACAGCACAGTTACAACAGCAACAGATTTTCTATTGTTTTGTCTCTGTAGGATAGAAACATTGGATTTGAAATTAATGGGGTAAAAGTGCTGACTTTCAGCTTTAAAAGGTGCACCAATCAATATTTTTATAGCAACAATGAAATGAGGGACCGCAGTTAATAGGAAGGAGGTCTCTAAAAGTGATGACGCCACAGAGACCAACTCTGCGGCTACAGAGACTTTTAAAGCCTATATTAACTCTTGTTGTGTGGTTCAGCTTCACTGCATTCATCAGAAGGCATACCTTTAAATCCGGTGTATCCTAACTGCCTGCACCAAACGGCAGACAGACAAAACCAGTGACTAGCTAGCAGCAAAAAAAGCCTTTTTTTCCTCTTAAAAGGAGTTGGTAGAGACCAAACCAGAGTTAAAAGACAGAATATTATGTACTTATTTTCATCAGGATGACTTCAATGTCTCCTTGATGTATTGTTTAAAGTTACTGTTAGGAGCTTTTAAATGGTTATGAAACAGTGTAAATTTAATAAAGATGCCTCTCTATCAGACGAGATCATGCGGATTCCCCAGAAACTTCAGCTCTGACTCCAGCGAGGCCTCCGGCAGCGGCCAGCCTACTGCAGACGGACCCAGATCCACCTTCGACCTGCAGTCGGGGCTCCGGCGGGAGGAAGGAGAGCAACTTTCCAAGGCAATAAATTGAGTGGGTTGTGCGGCAACTTCATCTGCCTCAGTGGCCAAAAAGTTAATGAGTGCAGCCTTGAGGAGGTTTGAGGGTGTTCACATCCACATAGTGTGAGACTATCTGCCTTTTTTTTTTTATAAATTGTCCCAACACCATCTAATTTTAGGACGATCTAGGGATGAACAGGCGACAAAGGTTTATTTTATGGCCAAACAGTTTATTGTCTGTCCAAGTGAATGTGAGTTTCCTCCACACAGATACACAGCATCCTGTTGAGAGATATGAATAAAAAGGGCTACAGTTCCTACACTGTTCATCTGATGTGTGTGTGAAGATAATCAAAGTGAAGCTGAAAGTCAGCACTATAGAGACAGAGCAATTCAAAATGTGTCACTTTCCAAATACTTATATGTCGTTGCAGTCTTGACTTAATGCAAAATGTGTGTGTGTGTGTTTATACACATGAATTAGAAACAGATGTTTTCATACTGTTAAAAATAATAAATAATGTAATATTAAAAATAAGATACAAAATATTAACATAGTATTGGTTTAAGGTTTTGTTATGGTTCATGCTGGGATAAGGGAATGGATACATCCAACGAGGGTCCTCACAAGTAGTGCAAATATGTGTGTGTGTGCTTATGTGCGGATTATGCATCATTTGTTTCTTTGTGTCCCCAAACGTTCACAAGTTCACTCACCCTTATTACTGATAAAATTACCTTCTCTTGTCTTGTCTGCTTGCTTGTACAGTCATAATTCCCAGTTAGCTTGTTTATTATAGTAATAATGGGCCGGGCATATTTGGCCGGCACTTCGCCTACAGGCAACATTGACAGAATTTTATTATCCTGGGTAAAGCTTTATCCGGTGATTCTATTTCCTCAATTTGATCATGCACCACATGACCTTTCCTCAGTCTAGCCAGATCTGAAAACTTAAGCTCCACCTGCGGTTCATCTCCCAGGACTAAAGCAGCGTCAACAACACTCATTAACAAGTATGAGAGGGGAGAGAAAGAATGCAGCTGAGCAGAGAGAGAGAGAGAGAGAAAGAGAGAGAGAGATGGTAATGATGACAATGATCTCCACAAAGAATTTACTTTTTCCACATCTCCGCGCTCCATTTGACAGCTATTTCCATGCACTACACAACATCTCGATGGACGATAATGATTCCGCTCGGCCTGTGTCCGACATACTTTGACCTCTGTGTTGGTGAGGGATTGTCATAATAAAGTGTCAAAAAACTCAACATGCAGACATTAGGGGCTTGAACGCACCACAAACAACAAGCAGAGATTGCTGATTTGTATTTCAATTTCAAAAACACACTTTTGTTTTGAGGTGGGCTGTTATTGGTTAGTCGCACTGCTGCAGCACGAAGTAAAGGAAAACAAATAGAACATTTACCGATCAATAACGCACATTATAAGCAGCTAAGTTTAGGGCGTTTTCCCAAGCCATAGTCCGTTTGGCTAGTCTGAATCGGAGTGAAGTTGAAACTTTTGGTTCATTCTCTATTTAGTCTGATTCAGTTTCGCAGAGCACAAATTAAAGGGGTGTGTAAAAAAAGAACACTTTTTGTTTTGTCTCGAAGGCTGTCAGCTCTATGCAGAGGATGGAGGACTTTGCTGTTGAAGTTTTGAACGTCAATATCTTTGTGGACGTCTTTTAGCCCTGATGTCAAGCAAACATCGGACGAAGTCAGTTCTCACCAACTCATGTTAACCTGCCGTTTGCCTGTGTCCAAATCGACAAAAGCCCCCGCAAGCAGCCTTAGTTACAGGTTTACTTCCTGCAATATTGTTCAAACTGCAATTAAAAATTTGATTAAAACAGCTGAACACTTTTATTCCAGTTGACATCTGGTCGTTCACTGTGTTGCTTAGGCACTCAGCCTTAGGAAGGCATGTACTACTGCACAAGACGTCCTAACACAACAAGGATAGAAACTATAATCCACAAGCTAATAATGAGTCAACAATGTGCTTCTTCACAAATGAAAGAAGAATTGAGTCTTATTTAGTCATCCTTGAGAGAACAGAAGTATAAAGAAATCCAGATATAAACAACAAATATACATTCAATGAAAATATAAATGATTCAAACATTTATACAAAAGCTCCAATCCTCCACATTCAGGGGTTAATACCTGGGTACCACTATAAAGGAGTCTCACAGCATCAGTGGGAAAACATACAGCTTTTTTAAAGTTCAGCTCTTAATAAAGAATTTGAAATTCATTCATTCATTCATTCATTATCCAAACCGCTTATCCTGTTCAGGGTCGCGGGGCGCTGGAGCCGATCCCAGCTGACATTGGGCGAAGGCAGGGTACACCCTGGACAGGTCGCCAGTTCATCGCAGGGCACATGTAGAGACAGACAAACATTCACGCTCACATTCACACCTACGGGCAATTTCGAGTCTCCAAATAACCTGAGCTGCATGTCTTTGGACTGTGGGAGGAAGCCGGAGAACCCGGAGGGAACCCACGCTGCAACGGGGAGAACATGCAAACTCAATTTGAAATTCATTCTATAATATGCTGATTTTTTTTTTCAGTTCATCCAATGAGTTTCCTTTTGCTACTTCTACTTTTAGAAATAAAGTTATTAACCCAAGACTGCAGTGTATTGCTACTGATGTAGGTTTGAACACCAGAGGAGACAGAAGACAGCCACATGCAGGGAGAGTAGAAGACAGACTGAGTGAGCGATCTAAGCTCTGCATCTCTCATGTCCAGGTTTGGCTTTTTCCTTCATCACGCTGCCTTATGTAATGCGTCAAAGCTTTCCGTCATTGTCCGTAGTAGATTCATTATCATCCCATGGTGCATGAAACACCGAGCCTTTCACAAAAGCACCGGTTCCAAACGAGCCGGCGGTGTCCCTGAGGAGTCAGCATCCTTGGCACAATGGATTCTAGATAAAGATAATTTATTACAGTTCCTCCTTCAGATGGAGAGGCTCCCGGGAGGAGGCGGCGCAAGGACGAGGGGCGTCTCGAGCCACTGCGAAAGGCTCAATATGTTTTATTTAAAGGCCTAGTTAGCTCATTGTATCATTATCCCCACTCCCGAGTCCTGAATGGGATAGATTACAGCTGCGGCTTTAAATCCACCTCCTATCTCCATCTGCAGTGTTACTTCTTTCGCCTCTTGCCTCTTTATTCTTTTCTCTCGTTACCCAACATGCCCTCCACCCTTCTTGGCTTTAGACACAAGACGTAAGCAGCCTCTATTTATCCCCTCATCTTCAGCAGGTAGATGGGAGCAGGTGGGAAAGACTGAAGGGAATAGAAAGAAGTAAAAATGTAAAGTTTGACAATGTCTTTTGTCTCTGTCCATATCTGTTTCTCTCTTTGTTTGTATGTGTGTGTGTTCTTAAGAGCACTGCACGATATGCCTGGCCACTGTTTGCCAAGAAATAATTATAGCACATAACTCAAGCCTTAAGCCACCACTTGTTACTTTTAAATTTCTGTTTGTGTGCAGCTTGAGCACACGAGATAGAAGGTGTTAATTTGTTTTCAAGGTGGTTGTCGGCGTATTGGTCATTGGAGAGAGCTGAGCTCGGTGTGTCCCCCTGTTTTCAGTCTCCATGCTAAGCTAAGCTAATTAAAGACTGAAATAAAAGGATTTTAGTAAGTTTTTGTCAAACCTTCTCGTTTATTAAAGGGTGCAAAATGCAGTACCTGGCCAGCTGCTCCAAAGAAATGGGGGGGGGGTTGGCAGAATTTCACCTCCACTACTGGCACCATACAATCTAAATTGACAGTCACCAGTTAAAAAAGATAAATATATAAAAGCCAACCGCTTACTAACAGCAGGGCAACGATACGCAAAATTCACCCACTGAAAGCCGGTCAGAACAACTTTTATCTTCTAATATTCTGTCTTTAGTTCACGGTATCTGTGTGTTTGTGCTACTGTGTATGTTTTAAAAAGTTTGCTCATTGGATTAAATCCAAAGTGGCAGAAACGAGCAAACAACACAGTGGCATATTTGGCATAATGTCAGAAATGTTACTTCTTGAAACCCTGTTGATAATGTTTGTTGTCTTTTATGTTTTAAACTGAAAGTATTGCCAAATCTTACACGTTGCAAAGTAGACAAACAATTTTAACTCAAGCTGAAATGTAGCTTCGTAGCTAGCTAGTAGGCTAACTTACCAAGACTTGATTGGAACCAAAACCATTAACTATTACTCATGGATTATTTTCAGATATATGTGGACAAGCTCACATGGAATTAACAAACTATACCTATAGGTTTCTTTTTCTGGAAACTTCTTGCTGTGCAGGAAATTCTGAAATATGTTGTCTCATGAGTATGCATGAGACAACAGCAGGCGTATAATTAGGTTACTGTTACTAAAAAGGGTGTAGCTCTAAATGGCCCCTCTGATACAATGTGCAACAGGTCCTTGATTCAATATTTTACAACTGCACCTGTCAGCGAGCATTCCAATTTATCTCGGCATAAACCTGAAGGGACTCCGTCACTTCACACAAGCCCACGCACATCCACACCATCTGTCTCTGCTGCTGACAAACACTTTTGAGCGCTCCCTGCACATGGAGGGTAGACTCTGAGCACTAAGCCGACTGCGGTATAGGGAACTGGCTGATGGAGCTGCATCTTTCAAGAAAAGAGCTTCCCTCCAGAAGAAGGAGCTCCTTGAAGCCTCGATGCGAGAGGGGATGGAGGAGGAGGAGGGAGGAGGGACAGCGGGCTGATGTGCAGCAGCGATACTGTCAAGCATAAGGGGGAGAAAGTATTTACACTACAGTAGGGTCTGGTAGCTAATCAATATTACGTAGATGTTAGATCGAAGAAAGAAAAAAAAGGCCCATTGATTGCACGGTGGGTGGGCGGGAGAGGCGGGAATATCGAGAGCATGTGCATGTGTTGGTGACACTCGGCCACATCCCGTCACTGATGTGAACGCCTGCAGGAGCCTGAGAAAATGAGCGGTGATTAAAAATTGACAACTTTGTAACGGGCTCGGGGAATAAGCGTTCCAAAGCATACACTGAGCGTCTTCTGGTTCCTCTGAGGGCCCTCAGTACTTCTTCCTTGTATCTGCCACTTGCCCCCCCCACCCCCCACCCACACACATGCCAATTACACCAGGCGATCTCGAATGCGAAGCACGTTCAGGTGCTTGAAGGAAGTGCATGTGTGTATCGGTCTTACCTTGAACAGGCCGTGCTTGTGGCTGTGCTGGCCGAGCCACACTCCGCTGCCCGGGGTGAGCTCCATCTGAGGAGGGTCTATAACCCGCTCATAAATCCTGCCAACGACAAATCAGAAGGGAATGCTTGGTTATGATAACGACACGGGCATAAACACATTTCCCTTTTTGTCCTGGTTTGGCAGTAGCACTGATCCAATACAGCTGAATAGTAAATCCAACAGACTGTGTGCTCCCTCACGCCCTCCCTCTCCCTTCTTGGGAAGCAGTTGAGTGTAGCGCAGAGGCTGCTCTCCTCGAGCATGACAGCCAGTCTCGCCCGTGGCCCCGTAACACGGTATTCATATCTGGACCTGTATGTAAGCTGGATTAACAGTCCGACTGCAGACAGACACAAATAGGCTTTGGCATTAGCGAGGGAAACATCCTCGGCGTTATTCAGCACCATTTTTTTTTTCCAGTGAGGTGGGCCTAACGATGCTGGCGAGCTCCGGTAGGCCTCTGTGAGGATGTCAAAGAACGATTTGTCAGGTTTTCTCCTCCCCCTACTCACATTAGTAGGAGGAGGTGGAGAAAACTTCCTGGCTGAGAGCTACAAGAGTAGCAAGCTGATTTCTTGTGTGGCTTAAAGTAAAAAAAACGTCCTGTTTTTTAGTTGTTTCTAAAACGGAGAAGACAGAAAGGTCAAGCAGCTGGGCAGGTGATTGGTCTTGATATATGACTGAACCGATCCCATTCACTAACTGTAAAATTCAGTCATTGTCATGCTCATACTTACAGCTCCGTTAAGCAGCATTTTTTTGTTATTAACACCGAGTGAAATGACTTCCTGTGATGTGAAAGGCTAGGGCTGCTAATCCCTGCAGCTCTGCAGCTTTCAAAGGTTTTGTCAGCTTTTTGGTTTTGATTTGCCTGCACATATGGTTGACTACTAATGGCTGTCACCAACCCCCCCCCCCCATAAAACCATGGGTGGCTCACACAAACTACCTGCCTGGCACAAAGTGGAGAAGAGACATTTCTCTCAAGACTTCAATCATTCATGACTACAATGCCTGCGTTACATTTGACAGGTGAAAAGAAAATGAGCTCCATTAGGAGACCTTTATGGCCATGTGTTTCTGCTGCATGTGTACTTTAAGTTACATTAAAGCTACTACAAGGAGCTCTTCCCACTGCAGGTCGAAGGCCACAGCGAAGCCGGATCTGGGTCTGTCTGCGGTGGGCTGGCCCCGCTGGAGTCTGAGCTGAAGTAGTCAAAAACTATCCAATGCAGCTTTAATTCACAGCTAAATGTATGGAACTTTAACATTTCTACTCTCATTTCCACTGTCACAAATTCAATTTCGTGACATGAGATACAATCCTGATCAAATAAGACGACTTCACGGTGAAGACGATAAAAAAGCATTTGTCCTCCAGTGACAGAATGTATTAAGTACAAAACAGCAACAGAATTTGTCATCTGAGTCACAGCTAGGCTGTCATGCTTATAAGAGAAAAGAACAACAACAATGCCACGGCCACACATCACTAATTATAGGTCTGTTACTTTTATGCATGTATTTTCAAAATAATGTTCTTTTATTGCTATAATTTACATGATCTAAATAGCAGCATGTTAATTTTTTGTGCTCGATGTGTATTGTAAGTACTGCAGTGCAGCAATGCTGTTTATGCTGTAGCTGTCTGATTTCCCACCTGCTGGGCTGGCTGTCACTGCGGTAGAGAATGTAGAGGTCATGTGATTATACTCTATTTTGTCTCCCCTACCTCACTGTCTTTGCCTCCCTCACCTTCCCCTCTTGTCAGCAGCTCAGCAGCAGTGAAGACTGGGAGTTTCACGCGGGGAACATTGGAGAGAGAGCAGCGATGCCAATTAGAAGAGCGATGCGCTCGCGGACATATTTGCATGGTCTGACACCACATGCTGCAGCCATCAACAGCTAATTATAGAGGACATTCACCAGTCAACATACTGTACCGTGTGATTAACAGAGCTCTTCTATCACCAAGGTGCAGGATTCAATGAATAATAGCTCCAGTTTACAACACAGAACAGAGCCATTCAATTTTAAAAATTGCCTGCCTGTGCATGAGAGATTCACAGGAAATGACAAGCCACCTCATTCAGCATTACTGCTTGTAATTTAATGTCCCTGATATCAGCCTCACTGTTAACTGCCCGCTCTCCCACTGCCGTATCAGAGCTGTGTTAAGTTACCACGTAATGCTAACTTAACATTTCCTACTGCTTGCTGCTTGTTCACATTAAAAGCATTCATTTAGCGAAAACACAGGGTGGCTATTATTCTGGAGCCTTCCACAGGAAATGCAATCAATTTGTCACCGAGGTTAGTGGCTCTACAAAACAGGACAACAGTGTGGGCTTTTGTTTTTTTTAACAACAGTTTCAAATATCGCAGGGAGTAATGGAACATGTTAGAGCAACAACAGTGAGCTAGATTAAGAGCTGCAGGCAACTCCCCAGCAATGTCACTAATTCCACCATGTAGGCCTGTGAGGAGAACGACATTTGCTGGACGACACACAACCAAAACACAAAAATGTGCAATCAGGACAATGTGCAATGACATGAAAAATATTGAGGACAAGTCCATATGTTTTACCATAAAACGATTAACGTAAAAATGATTGAGGTCATTACCTTACATCGAACAATAATGGATACCGTAACCCC